GCCCGTCCCCCTTGCTGCCCAGCCCTCAGCCCCACAACCATCCCTGCGCCCACCCCCTGGAGATGCTGCTCATTCTCCCCCCTACCCTACCCTGATCCTGGGCCCACGATTCATCATGCTTCCTCACAGCCTTCCACCAGGGAGCCCTTCAGGACCCAGGGCTTCAGTCTGAGCAAGTGTAATGTTGTGCTAGCACAGGACAGGGCACACCGTGGGTACAGGGAAGACGGTGCTGCAGTGGGTGAGTGTGAATGGGGCTCTGAGGTTTTCTGGATCTGGATTTTCAGCACGGTGGCCACAGGTGATGCCTCTTCCCAGATGTGCTGGTCCAGAGCGTGCCGGGTCTCGGGATTCTCTGGGGCCATCACTGAGCCCAGTGTCTCCCATCATTTGGTGTCTGGACGTATTTTCTGGTCCCTCCCTGTGCCCCAATGACAGGCAAAGCTGTGGGGGGGCTGGGCATTCACCCGGAGGACGCTGGCCGTTGGCCCAGCTGTCACATTGCCCCTCAGCTATTCTAACGTACATACACAGCAAAGGTGTGGACACAAAAGAGAGATATTTTTAGTACCGTTTTTATAGGCAAGACTTAAGGAGCCTATCTGGTGAAGAGAGTGCTGGACTTGGGATTGAGAGCCTTGGCTCTACTGATTTGCATTGCCATTATCAACACTAAGCGTGTGTCGAATATACAATACAGAGTGCAAAATGAGATACGCCCTCGCTCAGGGGCCTCCTGAGGGTGACCCAGCCAGCCACATGCACGAGGCCGCTGTCCTTCAGATCTGACGGCGGCAAGCCTGCCTCACCCTCAACCAGTCCAACCTGCCCTTGGGTTCCTCACTGCCGGGCAGGGACGGGATTTCCGGAAGCCGGCCATGGCATGCCAAGGGTGGGCACTCCAAGACAGGAAGAAGCCAGCTGCTCTGGCCTTCGACCTTGTCCCTTCCTGGTCCCGGCATGACTCCGTAGAGCTCCAGGCACGTGCCTCTGTCGAGACAAAGTCACGAAGCCGTGCGGAAACGCTCCAGAAAGCCGAGCCCGCGTCGGCTCTTTTGATTTTCTCGAGATGTTCCATGATGAGTCCGGGAACAAAAGAGAGACCGTGGCTGCTGTGGACGATGGGTTTCAGGAAAGGAAGGAAAGTGTAACTCGGAGGTGGAAGTGTGCTCAGGCCAGCAGGTAAAACGAAGGACTCTGGCCGAGGAGAGTGAGTTTCAGGAATGAGTGCCCAGGTGAGCCCAGGTTAAGTTATTCGGCGCCGGGCAATCCCCTGCCTTCCCGCTGCACTCCGCGTCCCCCCCACCCCCCACTGTGGGTCAGCTTGCCAGGCACCCCATGGCCTGCCCCTTATAGCCCAGGGATTGAGCTGCCAAAACCAGGGTCCCACCTCTCTGGGTTTCCATCCATTAGGACTGATTTGGGGGCAGGACAGAGAATTTCACTGTTTTATCTTCCTTATATTTCAGGGAGAAAAAAAGCAAATCCAAGGTTTTTTTTTTTTTAAGTTTCTTTTTATTTATTTTTGAGAGAGAAACAGCGTGCATGGGGGAGGGGCAGAGAGCAAGGAGACAGAACCCCAAGCAGGCTCCATGCTGTCAGCACAGAGCCCAACACAGGGTTCGAACTCACAAACCATGAGATCACCTGAGCCAAACCCAAGAGCTGGATGCTTAACTGATTGAGCCACCCAGGCGCCCTCTACCCCCCACCCTCAATTTTTTCCGGGTAAGAGATAACGAGAAGAAACAGGTTCAAGAGCTCTAAAAGCAGGGCTAAGTGCTCTAGTTGATTACAGCTCAGTATCCTCATATTGGTACTTGGGGGAATATCGGTAACTTCCTGAGATAATTGACAAGAAAGAGTCGCTACCTCGTGCTGCCGGCTGGTAGCCCACCAGAGGCAGGGGCTGGGCTAGAGGGACCCTGGTCTCTTCTTGCGGCCTCTGGATGTGTGACTGCACATCGGCATCAGTGAGGAGCACGCTTCCCACCCGCCTTTGAGCGCCTGTGCTGCCCGCTGCGTACCTCATGGCTGGGCGTCTCAGCCAGGGGGGAAAGCCTGTGTCTACACCAACGTCAGAACTTGATTTTATGGAAAGGAAGCTGCTGCGGCCCGAGGGACACTGCCGGCAGCCTTCTTGGGTCCCTTCTGGGACACGTCCAGAGCATGCACAAAGGCTCCTCGTACGTCACTATATCCCGATGACCTAGTCCAGTGTCCCGCCCAGAGAAGGAACCCAGTTAGTGCCCATGGAAGAGATCTCCACTGGTGATCAGAAGGGGCAGTGGCCTGGGGATAAGGGCCTCTGCATCTGTCTTCCCAACCTGGTTCTTTAATTTCCCGGTCATAAAACGAGTGGTAATAATTTAAGACAACTTTCCTTCTGGCACTGGCTATGACTGGCTGTGCTTCTGAGGAGTTCAGATCAACCTCTGACCCAGGTTGCTAAGAGAGTAGTTCACGGTTCCCCTTTAACTGCAACTCACTGTCCACCGTGAGCACCAACACAGATGCAGAAAATTCTTTTGTACTGCCTGGAAAATAGTCCACCATCACTCACTCGCTCATTCTTCTTCCTTTCTTCCTTCCTTCTTTCCTTCCTTCCTTCCTTTCTTCCTTCCTTCACTAATAAAGTACACATCGAGTACTTACTGTATCCCGGGTGCTGGGCCAGCACTGCCAGTAGGCATTTAGCAACATCAAATTTTTGTACTCCTAAGGACAAGCCATCATTCCTTCACTGTCCTGGGGGAAGCAAAGCCATACTCTGCCCTACTTTTTTTCAGTTGGAGACATAGATACAGACTGATTTTCATTTGCTTACATAATTATTGGACATGACTCAGAAACAAGGCTGCTGAGTACAGCTGCACAGGCTGCGCACTGCACAATTTCAGGGGGGAGTTGTGCAACAGGGAAGAGTTTATATCAGGCTCCAGAATCAGTCACCAGCTATCACGGCTTAGTCCACCAGGCAGTGTGGCTTGTTCAGATCCTACTGACATGTGCTACAATTCCATCAGCGGACAGTGCCACTGCAGCTGCTAAACCAGAAAGCTGGTCCCCATCCGTTCCTGGAAAGCCCACAGCCACTTCAGTGGAGGAGACCTCCTTCCCCCTGAGGCCCAGCCAGTGGACGTAATGTCCAGAGTCCTCCCCTGCTTCTCCCCCAGCCCCCATGTGGGGAATGCAGTACCCTGTCTTCCGTGCTCCCAAGCTGTCTCTGTACTATTCCCCCATGCAGCCTCTGACTTCATGGCCCTGGTGCTATTCACCAGGCAAGAAGGAGAGACCCAAAGGCTTTGTCTTCGGGGACTGGGGTAGAGCATATGACTGCCATATTCCTTAGCCCCAGGCTGGCCTTCACCAGGACTCGGACTGTACCACACAGCAACTGGCTGACCACCTGCCGGATACTCTACTACTTTTTCCTCCTGCTCAGAAATGCATGCATCCATACACACTCACACACAATGAAAAACAAAACCAAACAACACAACAAATAAAACACTGGCCACGAGGTGCCTCAGTGGGGCGTTTCCTCTTTAGTCAATTACCCTACCTGCCCCGAGGCTCTGATCCTGCGGATCAACTCCAGCCAAGCCATCAACAGCACTAAGTCCCCAGGGACCTTCGCTCCAGTGAACATGCATGATACCGTCATGTTTTCATTCCTGGGATGGCCTGATGCTCCATGAAGCTTTAAATCAGGTGGCAGGCAAGCCCTCGGCCTGGAGTGGGGCCTGGGGTATTACAAGCAAGTCTGCTGCCCCTAAGGGCAGGCAGCCCCCTTCTTGGGCCTGTTTTTCATCCACGGCACCGGCCCGGCCAAGCACACAAGGCGGGGAAGAATAAGTGCTTTCTGCGCCGCAGATGTGGCCAGTCGTGCGCCCACAGCTCAGCCTCGATGGGAGGGGACGGCGGGGGTGGGGTTAGGGCCTGAACCGGGCCTCTGTAAGCCATAGAAAAACCCACAGAGGGGTCAGGCAGGGATGTCAGATGACGCTTTCCAGCACCCGTCTGTGCTCCACGCACCCTGGGGCTCTTGCATGTTTCAGGAGCACTGGAGTCCGTGCAGTATTGAGCAGGGTCGTGATTGCCTGGGAGCCAGATTCGTGACTTCCTGGCTGGAGCGCACGTTGCATCTGAATTGAAAAGGCTGCTTTTCGTTTCTGGTGTGTGCGTGTGAACATATGTGCATGTGTGGGTGTGCACGTGCACTCGAGAGCTGGTGTGTGCCTGGTCTCCATGTGCATACATTTCAAGGCTGGAATGTGCACTTCTTCATCTCCATGTGGTGCGTACCATGGGTGGTGATGGCAGTTTGGTTTGATGGGAAACAGTCTCCTGCTTCCCCATGTGGGATCCATCAGAGAGCCTGTGTGTTGGCGTCTGGGCCCCCGAGGAGAATGTATGGATATAAGTATATGCCTAAAGCAACAAATAATTAGGTGTTGGATAGATCACTAAGATGTAATGTGGATACATTAAGTCCATGAGAATGGGTTTTGCTGATCTCTCCACACCCCAGCCTCCTTGCCAGGGGTGACCCACCTCCCAGCTTTCGGGTGCAGGACACCCCTGGAACAGGACAGGGCATTCCGAGACTGAGCCTGCAGCCTCTCATTAGCTCCGAGACCTTGCAATCAAGCAAATGAGCATGTGGCAGTGATGACGCCACCTTGCATTTACTTAGCGCTTTCTTAAGTGCTTTGACCTGCCTCATTCATTCAGCCGGGTTTTAGAAGCATCGACTCACAGATGTGGCCACTCACCGTGGACAGGCAGGCAGGGGAGGACAGGCACTGTTACCCCACTTGTGTGGCACATGGCGTGTGGGGTTGGGACCCAGGCCCCCCTCTGCACCGAGAGCTTCTGCACCCCTCCTCAGGGAGTGTCTGATCACAGATGCACCCTGGAGACGGTCCATTGTAGTCACCTGCACAGGGGTCCTCAGGCCCCAGGGCCTCTCTGAGATGCACCCGCTCTCCCTACAGAGTGGCGACAAGGAAGTGGGGCGAGGATGATCCTCCAGGATGAGGACATCACCACCAAGATTGAGAATGACTGGAAGAGACTGAACACCCTGGCCCATTACCAGGTGGGGTGACTGCGCGGGAGGGATAGGGCTGGCTAACCTGCTGTCCCCTCAGAGTCTCAGGCCTTGAAAGACAGGATCACCCTGAGGCCAGACACCAAGCCTCACACCCACCTCTCCACCAGCACTTCTGATCCCCTAGCGACCCAGGGAAACCTGATGTCCCCCAGCCAGGAAACCTTGACCTTTCTGGAGACAGGATGCCAACATGCATGCTTTCAGAAGGGTGTGGGCAAGTCCCCAAGAAAAGGCCTTTCTTAGATAATCCCTGGGGTGTAAGGCTGGATGGAGGGTACTGGTGAGACAAGCTTGCCAGAGTTGCTCCAAGAGTGAGCCACAGCACAGGATACTATTCGGCACTCTGGTCTGTCTCGTTCCAATGAAGCAAAGCTGACTGCCTCTGAAGTCCTCCCGCCCTCGGCGAGGCACTGATTGCCCCTAAGATCCAAGTGAATTCTGATTGTCCCTATTTCCTGAGGTGCCTGAATCTCTGTGCCCAATCTCTTATAAGCCTTTCCCCTGTAGGTGCCAGATGGTTCTGTGGTGGCCCTAGTGTCTAAGCAGGTGACAGCCTATAATGCTGTGAACAACTCTACAGTCTCCAGGACCTCGGCGAGCAAATATGGTGAGTTCTGTGAACCATCCTGGGGAGGAGAGGATGCCCGAGCTCGCCGTGGCGAGTGTCATGATGGCAACACTGCCGAATGGCCCTGGACCCCCGGACAGGGAGGGGGAGAGGGAGGCAGGCAGGCTGACCATCGCTGGGGCGGACCTGACTGGGGAGGAGTCTCCTGGTTCTGGGACTCTGGTGCAGGACCGGGACCTCCATCCTTGAGCACAAGAAGAAAATCTAACCTTCACGAGCACCTTACAGTCTCCCACGTGATGCTTTCACTTTTGCGATCTTCATTACCGCACGTCATGTTCGTAACAATCAGTGAATTAAATAATTATTATTTCCCCCTATTATGCAGATTAGCAAATTATAACTCAGATGCTCAGAAGCTACACAACATGTAAAGGTCACACGGTTATGAAGCGGCTGAGGGAAGGTGCAGGCCCAGGGCTCCGGCTCCGGGGTGTGAGGGAGAGGGTGCTGGGTGCGGGCCGGGGGCCCCTGTGCAGCCCTGTTTTGCTACCCCGTGTGCTTTGGGGCCAGCTGCCTGACCGCCGTTAGACCTGGTTCTCTTACCAGCAAAACTGGAGGGGAAAAAATGACCAATTCCACAGGGTCACTGTGAAAAATCAGTAGTAAACCTACATTGATGCGGGCACACAGTAGGATCTTCATCTTCTTTTCTGCTCCACACTCATTGCACCACACCCCACACGTCAGCAGCAAGCAGGTGGGAAGGTTTGGCCCAGGCCAGACGGGGGATGCAAGTCAGCAGGTGACAAGGCGATTACTTGTCTGTTCAACAGTCATGAAGGGAAACAGGGCACATGTTCTGGAGACATCACCTCAGAACTCTTACGAGGAAACGTGTAACGAGGGACAGGCTGATACTCGTACAAATCGAGTAATTAAGGGCCGGAGAGATGCAAGTATAGGAAGGCGAGGAATCTCAGTGGGCAAAGTAGCCAAGGAGAGTTTCCCGCATGTGGTGGGAAAAGTATCCTAGTCTCAGGGAATGGACTGACTAACGCAAGCCAGGCCACCAATGGCACCCACAAAATGCAGGAAGCACCAGACGGTATCGGCCACGGTCAGAATATGGGGCGAGCTGTGGGTCATGGAAAGGCCTCACACAGGCGGGGTCGCTGCCTTGACAGAAAACATGATCCGCTACACCGGCAGTCCGGACAGCCTCCGCTCGCGCACGCCCATGATCACCCCCGACCTGGAGAGCGGAGTCAAGATGTGGCATCTGGTGAAGAACCACGAGCACGGGGACCAGAAGGAAGGCGACCGGGGAAGCAAGATGGTGTCTGAAATCTATCTGACGCGGCTACTGGCCACGAAGGTAGGGGACTTCTGATGGCGTTCAGGGCACATGTGGGGTGTGGGAAGGAACGTCGTCACCCCACAGAAATGCCAGGCTGGCAGATACCTAGCATTTGTGCTAGGACCCTCCCTGTTATCCACTAAGCCCCAGTATTCTTTCCCAGCACGGAACCGCAGAATCCTTCTCAACCTCACACCTCGGGCAAACCCCACGCATGCATCTGACGCTTTGTTTCCATCCTTCTCGGTGCCCCGTTCCCAAATACAGAGATACTAGCTGCATCTGTCCATGTTCTGCCGTGCCCCGTGACAGAACGCCTCCGTCTCGAGGGTGTCATGTACAACCTCGAGCGAGGGAAAGCGGGGCTCCATCAGTGACATTCCAGGCACCATTCTGATCCCGGTTCTGGGAATGTTGTGTGCCTGCACTTAGTCCTTCACTCGTGAGGCTGGCCTCCGCCTCCGCTCTGCAGAGCCGCATGCGTTACTGTTCATTAGCCAGTGTGAATGATGCCGAAACAAAACCAGCAGATTGTGTTTGTCTGCTCTGACCGAGGGAGTTGTTCGTTAGCATTCGTGGAAGGTGCTAAAATAACACCACCAAAGGGTGTTAAACCAACCCATGTTGTTGGCAGAGGAAGGCTCGCTTAGGTCATCAACATTATATCTATTTCCACGTGCACGGGAAATTTAAAGCCATTGGAGGCAGATGAAGATGGTAGGGGATTTAATGCACGCATTTGCCTGGCCTCCCCCCTGCCCCCCTCCCCTGGGCAGGCCAGGCTGCATGCACGCTGCCCTCCGTTCCCCTCTCCTGGTCTGCTGGGCAGATTTAAATTTAAGCCCAGTGCTGAGAGCTCCCTGGGCGGAGCTGTGTCCTGAACTGGCCCCACTCCACAGGGCACGCTGCAGAAGTTTGTGGATGACCTGTTCGAGACCATCTTCAGCACGGCGCACCGGGGCTCAGCCCTGCCCCTGGCCATCAAGTACATGTTTGACTTCCTGGACGAACAGGCCGACAAACACGGCATCCACGACCCGCATGTCCGCCACACCTGGAAGAGCAACTGGTGAGTGATGCCGTAGCCCTCCCCCCACACCGCCCCTTCCTCCGCAGAGACCCGGAGCAGGCTCCGTGTCTGGGCCTCCCCACCCTCTCCTTCTATGTCCCTGCTGGCTTCCTCTCTCCCTTCCCTCCACCCAAAGCATCCTTGTTTACCATCAATCGATCAAGCAGGTAGCAGACACTTATTGAACCAAATAAGCGAGCAAAGGTTAACATGCCAAATGTTGCTACCAGGTCCCTGTCACATCCAGAGTGTGCCCGACACTGTGTGCCTGACGCTGAGCATGCAGACACCATCAGGCACGGCCGCTGCCCTCGCTGGGCTGACAGGTGTGCCTAAGAGACAGGCAGGTGGCTGTTTGGACAAAGAGGCCGAAGATGCATGTATGCAACCAGTTCTAGAGCCAGCACCTGACAGGGCTCCTCAAGCACAGTTTGGACCTGAGAGTCGTCTAGGTGAACAAAAGGTATTTCTGTTCTATTTGAGGAGCAAGGCTCTTCCCTTCCGCCAGACTCCCTTTGGGGAAGAGACCTTCCCGTACCTGCTTTGTCTGTCTTCGAGGAAGCAGGATTCTCTGAATCCTGACACCCTAGATGTCCCTGCTGTGGCCCCTCTGTCCTTGAACATATACCCTCCTTTCCCTTCCTGGGAGTATACTCTGGGTTTCCAGCCTCAAGGTCAGACATCAGTATTCAGCGCTCGGTGTGGAACCTTGCACAAAGCTGTGGCTCGATACATATTGATGAAGATGCAGGACCAATGTGGTGTGTACTCGAGGCCTCTATCTCAGGCCAGGCCGGCTTAGATTTGGTCCCATCAGTTCCAGAACTGCCTCCCTGGGTCTTTTAAACTGTCCCTGTCCCGGGTTGTTCTTCCCCAGAACATTCTTCTAAGGCAGCACAAGCCCGCTGCCCAGCACCTGCAGCCGATGGCAGGGACGGGCCTGGCAGCCAGCCCGGAGCCCCAGAGCAAACACAGATTACGTGGGGAGTCAGAAGTGGCACTCAAACCTCCTTTAACGTCATCTGCTCTGGCTTCTCGTCTCTTTCATCTGAAGATTAGCGCGCTCTCTGCTGAACCCGGAAATGTGGGCGGGAACAGAGGTTTGGACCATAGCACTAAGGAGTTGGGTTTGCTCCCCCATTGACTCCGGGTGAGAGAAGATCTTGTACTGCCGGGTTCTTGCAACACTTCTGAAATAACACTCTTAGGATCTGGATTCCTCAGGGACACGGGGTGAAGGCTCTTCCCTGCAGAGGGCCTGCCAGGTCTGGTCCGGGTAAGATTGCTTTGAATTCTGCCCATTTCTTTTAGCCTGGGTCTGCAAAGCCGTTGCACGGGCCCGGTCCCCAACCTACCCCATCTGCTTCCCTCTGCCAGCGAGTCTTCCTACTCACCATGTCCTCTGAACGGTAGCCGACTCAACAACACAAAGACGTTCTCTGCCCAGCCCCGCTCTTGGGCCCGGCTGGGATTCCCAAACACCCCTACATGCCCCTTACCAGCAGACCACCTTGGTTTTCAGCCCATACTTCCTGCTGCGGTAAGCCCCCCACCCTCCTAAATGCCCTTGGCGTGGGCCCGACCTTCCCTCCACACCAGCTCCTCCCAGTGCTATGGCATCATCGCAGGGACCCCAGGGCGGTCGTCCGCAGTACCCGGCTCGCGTTCTCTCACCCAAGGACACGCGCCCCCTGACCCTGCTCGCTGCTCAGGCAAGAAGCAGTTCATCTGGGAATTACAAGATCTGCATCATGACTCCGAGTTCATTGTCTCTGCGTAAAAAAAAGATGACTTCTTCTTTATTCCTGGCCAGAGTTGTAGCTCACCTTCCCCCCACCCGCTTCTTCCACGTTTCCCTACTTTGAAATAAACCTCCTGCTCATTTAGCCTGAGTGGCTGCAATCAACCAGAGATTAGTGCCACCACTAATGTTAATAATATGCTAATATTTCATTAGGCAGGAGCCTCGGTGTGGTGCCCTGGCGCCCCTGTTTGATTTGCCTGTCAGCACAACTGGCATAAGCAGGGGAAACAACTGTGTAGCAGGTATAGAAACACCCCCCCCCCAGGCTTTCTTCTGGGTGAGACTCCCAGAAACAGGAAGGTGTGGGCACACCCCGTAGGTGGGGCACCCGGGAATCCTTCACCCGGGGCTCTGAGCCCAGCTGTCATGGTCTGCCCTGGGCAGCTACAATGACCCTGACTTTGAGCGTGTGCTGCAGCTTTCTGTGTCATCCCCTGATCTCCTATTCCATCTTTCCCAGGACGAAACAAGTGCCTCTTCCCGTTGTCAGATCTCAGTGCCGCCCGAGTCCTGTCCTCCACACTTTGTAGGAACGTCATGCTTGTTGATCAATCGGCAGGCTTGAATCTGAGGTCTTACTGTATTTTAGCATTTAGTACCGTTGTATGGCGGGACTGGCTACTGGGAGGTACAACACATAGAAATGTATTGTACTCTCTGTATTGAAGTAAGTAATTCTAAGCGTTCAAGTTTCAAGAGGCAGGAACGCTATAACTATTACCAACAGTGAGAACAGCAACCAAAGCAATAAAACTTCAGGGCAAAAGGCAGGAGGTGAGGAGGTGGGGGACAGAGGGAGGGAAATAAGCGATCCCTTGCCTGGTGCCATCCCGCTTCCTAACTTGCATCTCAGCAGGCTGGATGGAAGCCGCAGAATGCAAGAGCCAGCCGAGTATGGCCAAAGGGGACGCGGGGGGGCGGGGGGCAGGTCTCTCAATATCGCTTTCTGGCAACACAGAGCGTGACTTGCATTTATCAGACCCCATTGCAGCTTTTCTTCTCTTTGTCTTGGTTTAGCTGATTCCTCCCCTGCTTGCTCCAGGCTTCCTCCAGCTAAGGAATACCTCTGTGTCTTTAAAACTCAGACCATCCAGTGTATCTCCCTCTGTGAAGACTTTCTGAACACTTCCCTCTGTGTAGACTCAATGACACCTCGCTGTGTCCCACGTGAGACCCTGTCTGCCCTTGGGTTCCAGCACTGATAGTTCTCAGAGCACACACTTGGTGGCAGGTCTGACTCCCCCACGAACCCACCAGAATGCTGGCTTCTGGAGGGCAGAGGATGTGTCCCATTCACACCATATCCCCAGTTGTTAGCATAGTGCCTGGTATGCAGTAGGCACTCAGTGCAAGAAAGAGGGAGGGGAACACAAGGGACAGATGAAGGGCTGTGGATGTGGGTTTCTAAGCATGCTGGCTCAGAGAGGAGAAATCAGTTAGCTACGCTTCAACTGCTCAGCCCCAGTGCCTTCACTGCGCAGGCTCAAGCTGATACCGCCAGGCAGGGAGGAAGGATGTGCCTTCTTCCAGGTCATGCAGTGGATGGCAGAGAACAAGATACAAAACCTGTATTCCAGGCTATTCTGTAAGGTTTGCGGATTCGATGTGCATTATATCCGGTGTAGGGGATAGACAGTGGAATAGAGTCAGAAACTCCACTCTGTAGCACCCAAACTGGCCGCCTCTGAGCCCCAAGGCCTTGTGCCATCAGGGAGGGTTGTAGCGCTGCATTTCCGGGCTGGGCACCAAGCCCTCTCCAGTGCCTATCGGCATTTTAGCTGTGGGTGGAGCGCTCAGCCTTGCTGATCCTCCGCTTCCTGGCAGGTATGTTAGAGGCATAGGCTTTGCTTAAGAACAGTCAGTTCCCAGCCTTTTCTCTCTCCCCAGAGAACTCTCCGGGCCACGCCACAGCCCCCTGCCCCCTCTTCCTGACCGTCTGCCCCTTCCCTCCACACAGCCTACCCCTGCGGTTTTGGGTCAACATGATCAAGAACCCTCAGTTTGTGTTCGACATCCACAAAAACAGCATCACGGACGCCTGCCTCTCCGTGGTGGCCCAGACCTTCATGGACTCCTGTTCCACGTCAGAGCACCGGCTGGGCAAGGACTCCCCTTCCAACAAGCTGCTCTATGCCAAGGACATCCCCAGCTACAAGAACTGGGTAGAGAGGTGAGTGCTGGGTCTGGGAGCCAACGCAGGACCGCTTGCAGGTGACTGCCCTTGAGTAGGGGTCCCGTCCCCTCCAAAATGGGCCGGTGCTTACAGACAGGCTTCGCAGAGCCTGATGCTGCAGTCTGTAATACCCACACCCCCGCGTCCCCGTTGGTATTGTCAGCTGGGACCCTGGGGAACCTGGCCGGAAGCAGCCACTGTGCTCTGTTTCCTTGCACGGAGGGCTCCAGATCTCAGTGGCTGAAATGGCTTCAGGTCCAGGAAGGAAATAACAGTTCCTGCTCTAACCCCCACTAAAACAAAACAAACAAATGCTCAAGGAACCAAATAACATCCAGTCCCTGTCTATCCAGTAAGACATCCTGTGGGGATGTCATTGTCACTCTGACGCTTCTGACTGCCCCAGACCGTTGACTCTCACAAGATGAGCTCTTGATGCCCTGTGCCCGTGGTGCTTTCTCGGCCATTGTAGCCATGACCTTCATCATGGTCTCATGCGGTGTCCTATGACTGGAGGGCCAGCTCTAAGCTGGGGAGCCCCTTCATGCAAAGCTAACTCACGGTAAAGATCATTAGTGGTGTGTCTGGGCCAACCAGCTCCAGCTAGTGAGCACCTGAGCTAGGCAACTAGCCAAAGCTTTCTTTCTTTATTCATCACAGTAGTACTGGCATTTATTTTCTGTCCATGAAAATGAAGAAATATACATTCAAAAAGGCCAAGATGAGAGGTGTTCCCCAAACTCCGCTAAATCCTACTTTTATACTATTAGTGATGCTTCCAGCTGGGGCCTCTGCCAACCTATATGGTGCCTCTGTGTGAATTAAGGAAGGTGCCCTTTCCTGCTGGAGGATGTAACCCCAGACCAGGATGCATGGTTTGTTGAGTGATGGACTGGATGTCAACCCGAGCACCTTTGTTCAGCGAACAACCTGCACAACTCCACAGGGCAGTCCTGATTTTAGAGTCCCTTTTCTCTTTTTGCCATGAAGCTCAGATTCGGTGCCTTTTTAAGAGTGAAAGATGCCAGAAATTGTTCTTGACTTAGTGACTGAAGACAAAATGAACAGTATCATTTCCCCCATGGGGAAGAGGCAGTCTCCATCTCCATGCTTGAAAATTGCCTTCCCTTGTAACGAGGGACTAACTAAGAGAGTGTAGAGTCCTGGCCACCTCAGTAGCATGGTTCTGCTAAACAGCACCGAATTTTGTTTTTCCTCTCCCCTCTGTTTTTTGATACCCTCCCCACCCCTTCCTGCTGAGGCACGTGGTGGGCAGCAGTCTTGGCCATCAGAGAGCGAGGGGCCCCCTTGTCCTTGTATCTGATTAAGTCTGATCACCAGGAGAGGCTCTCACCTCCCTCCACATAGACGGTGGCTCAGTCTTCTGACAATAGAGCTGCTGGGAACAAGCCCTCCCGTGTGGTCACCGGCTCGTCAGCAAAGATAGAGAGGAGAAAGGCCGTAGCCGGGCTCTGGTTCTCCCAGCGCGGGTCCCACGGCACTGCACTGGGACCTCAGGCAGGGAGCCAGGAAGCAGGGCTGTGGAGGGCTGGGGGCATTGATGAAACACCTGCAGAGAGGACCCCCCTCGGCACACGGCTAGCTAGTCAGAGGTGAGAATAACGCCTGCGCGGAGCTAACAGTCTTCCCTCCGCCTGGTGCGAAATGACATTTGTGCCACGCAGCTGCTGCGGGTCACGAGTAACCCTGGTCCATTTGGTTATTTTTAGGAGTGGCTCGATGGTTTCCATTTCTTATCCCGCCAGTTTCTTAGCAACCAGTGGTACTCTAGGGAGACTCATCTCTCACTCGCTTGAGATCCCACCCAAACCCTTTCTCCTCTCCTTCTGGGATGAGGGACAGAGACAGAGGGGCTGGGAGACACAGCGTGAGCAGGTCTGGAGGTCAAGTCTAGACTGCTTCACTAGGTGAGGGATGGAAGGAGTCCACCGTCACTTCCTCGGAGGCTGGCCTCTGAGCTTGTCTGCCTGCTGGAGGTGAAGTCGAGCAAGACAGAACTCGCTCAGGGTGCACAGCAAGCCTGGTCTCCCACCTCTGCCCACCACCGGCACTGGCAGCGTGTGGTTCAGAAGAACGACGGTAGAGCCCAACCTCTCATGGCTGGTGCTTACCCACAATGCTAGTGGCTGGCAGCCCCCACTGCACGCTCCCAGTCTTTGCTGTGTCTGCCCAAGTATGCAGGTTTTTGCTTATGGCCACATCTAGAGGAAGGGCGAAGGTCCTCGTGTTCCCCGGTAGCGATCAACCACTACATTCCTCTTACAGAATCACCATAACAGTGTGTCATGGCCAGTTATAGTTCCTATTTCATTAGCAATAGCAGTAAAAATTTTCATGTCAGGTGGCGATTTCCTCTCCTCTTAAATTGGAAGAGCCTCAAGGTTATTCCTGTGGCCTCGTTAGCCTTTCTCACCTGCCCTCAAGGCTTTGGCGGTAGGGCTGAGTGGAGCGGAATCGCAGCTGACCGGCTCAGAACCGGACTGGGGTGTGCCACACATTTCAATGCCATCTGTCACATGTGTCACAGTATGAAAGAGGTTAAGGATTTTGAATATTTAAAAATGCCTCTCAGGAAGCCATCCATTCAAAATGTAGAACGGTGACAGTGCACCCTGGGAGCAATACTGGAGGTGAAGTATAGACATTTCATTAACTTATTCATCAATCCATGGGTCCAACATTTATGGTCTCCATCAGGAGTGTATGGGGCACTCGGGATATATTACACTTGGCCCTTCCCTTGTGGCTTTCGTGGTCAAGGAGGACGCACAGACAGGCCCTCGGCAAACCCCATCGAGCTGTGATCGTGCTGCGGGGGAGGAAGAGCCTGATTCTGCTGGGCCTGGAGAGGTCAGTGAGGGGTTCTCAGAGATGAAGATCTCTGTGCGGGGCCTTCAGGCTCTAAATGTTTCTCATGTCTACAACTTCATCCTTGAGGTGTTTGGAGGGATGACAAAACTGTTCCTCTAAGAGTTCAGGGCATTAGAGACCGCCTTCTTGATCACTGGTGCCATCCTAAAGGCAGCGAGGAGACACACCATCGCTCACTGGGCCCGTCCCCTAGAAGCCCACAGATGTGGACCAGTATGGACTGGCTGACAGCGAGACATGCGGCATTCCAGGGCTCTACCCTTTACAGCAGCTCCCCGATGCCCCACAAGCGTACTAGCATCCCATCTGGTCCAAACAAACTCAGCAAAGAAAGCCGAGTAGGGCCAGTGGTGGGACCCAGACCTCATCAGCAGGCCTGGCGTTGGCCAGATGGGGGAGGGGGTCCTGGGGGACCTTCAGAGCGTCAGTCCCTTTTGAAGGGGCTCACCTGTAGGCAGAAATCCCATGGGAGGAAGTTCAAGTACAGGAGCCCAGGCTGACCTTCCCCTTCCGCACTGCACAGCCTGCTGATAAGAATACCTGTTTGAAGCTCATTAATGGGGCATAATTGCATTCTTTAGAACCAATAAGCCTTCTCAGTGGTGGAGCCCAGCACAAAGGCCAGCCCAGCAGGAGCTGAGAAGGAAGCAATTGCCCACACAGCTGGGGAATCCAGGGCAAGGTCATTATCCGGCTCAAGGGGTACTGGCAAGGCCAGGGGGAGAGGTGGGGTGCAGCCCTGGAGGGAAGTGAAGAGAGGTCAAGGCAGCGTCAGCATGCCTTGTTGTGTGGATGGGCCCAGCTAGCAAGGTTGGGGTCAAGACCCAGGCAGAGTGTTAGCTGGACCCCAAACCCCACACTCATCTGGGAAATTGAGCTGTCCATGGCCACTCAGCTCAGCTATTCAGTGCTTGCTGAAGATGAGGGCACGTGGTTGGTCCATTCATGGACTAGCATGTGGCCACGGATGTGCACGGGTCCCATCCAGCGCCCTCTGCACGTAAGCAACAGAGGAGAGGCTGGGCTGCTCTGTGAGGGCATGACCTCACTGTTAGAACAAGGCAAAGCACGTCCAGGTGGCCCACCACCCATTTCTTCAGGAGAGAAGGCTGGAGTCCCCACCCTCTCCCCATTCCACTCCCCACCCCTCCCTCTCACTTTTTCTCACACGCAGACACATTTCCAAATAATCTCTTTGGAGAAATAGACTGGGCTTCTGGCACACACCAAGGCAAGCCACGTTAAAGGGACAGAGTGCTGGGCGTCTGCTGTTTCCGGTGGAGACTGTGGTGAGGCATCTCAGGGTGCAGGATTCGGGGTGCAGGGTGAGAAGTTTCACAGGCAGCTACCAGAAATAGCAGGAGTCTTTGCTTCTGATGACAGCTCTGTCCTGTTGGCGAGGACCTGTCAGTCTCTCTGACCATCTAGGGGTGTGACCGAGTGTAACTGTCAGGGGGAAGCTCTGGCCCCAGGCATGTTAGCAGACGGGCCTGGTCGCTGGCTGCGGAGAAGCCAGGGAGGTCATCTGCTTGTGGTTTCCACCAAAATGACCTGATGGCCTAGCCCCTGACCCCACACACACATGTCGCTCGGCCAGCGTGAGACAGTGGGCACACACCTCCTTGGGAGGGGCAAGACAGTGGGCACACACCTCCTTGGGCTGAAACCCCTAGGTCTCTGGCATAAAATGGAACATTGGCATTCATGGCTTTCCAGAAGAAGTGCCAATGAATCGAGTCTCTCCCTGGAACGTTTATACCTGGAATGTCATTAAAGCACCCAGAACCCTGAGGATGTTTAGGGGTAGATTGCAGGTCTGGAAGAGAGAGGGGGTTCTTCTGGGATGGAGTGAAGGAACCAAACTGCCCCAGGACAGGGAACAGGGGGCTCTGAACATAAGAAGGGCAGGGGGTGGAGGACCCCACCCTGGACGAAGGTTGTGAAGGATGAAGTCCAGGTGAGGCTGAGGGCAGAACGGCCTCACGTGAGGCCGACCGCAGGCTCCTCTGAGAAGGGCCATTCCATTACGCTCTTGTCCCCAGGCCCAGACCTCCCGCCAAAATGCAATCAGCTCCACAAAGCAGTTGGCAAGTGTGTCTGTGTGTGGCCAGCTTTCTGAGGTCAGAGGAGGCTCCTTCCGACCAGCTCCTTCTCTTGCCGGTTGCTCTCTGATTGCATCTCCCTCCCTCCGTCTCCCTCGGAAGGTTTCCAGAATGGCAAATGGCAGGTCTGCGGTCACAGCAAGGCTGTGGCGTGGGGCAGGGCGGCCATCACAGCCCTCGCTGGCCCAGGAATGCAAATTGAACTGTCATTGCACTGCAAGCCCTCGAGTGTGATGGCTTGAGTATCACAAGAGTGCCATGTCTGCTGGCCTGGATTGGGGGTGGTGGAGGGCTGGGGATGGCAGAGGACCTATGGATTCCTGGTCGGTGCACCGAGGGACTCGAGCCAAGGTGAGACTGTACGAGAGAGCTCCTGAGGATGCCCCTCCACTTGCCTGACTTCCGGGATTGCCCTGAGCCTGTCACTGGCACCTGCACTCACACAGGTGTGCCAGCGCCTCCCTCGCCTCAGCCCGGTCCCTGCCCCCCTGAGGGTCCCACCAACCTCCTGTGTTCTAGATGCTCAAGCTTGCTTTCCCAGCTCCAAAGCCATAAGCATTCAGCTGCAGGCCAGGCTGGGATGACCAGGACTCCCAGGTGCTCCCCCACTGCCCTGAAGCCTCCCTGCTTTTGTAGGCCCACATAAAGGGCCGGCACCTGGAGAGCGGGTCATGGCTGTCTTTGCGGCGGGGGGGGGGGGGGGGGGGGGGGGGGGCACCGGGGCCCTTCAGCTCCTCATTATGAAGCTGCACCACTCCCCTCTGGCGGAGGAGTTGGGGTTTGCTGCATAAAATGTCAAACTGCAGAAATTAAAAATGTAAATGCTGGCGTCTAATTAACAAGTTGACAGCAGTGCACAGCTGCAGGTGACAGTGACTGATTGCCTTCTGCCAGCCTCTCTCCCCAAGCAGCCCCCCCACCCTGCCCTTCTCCCGGGTAACTCCCCAGAGAGGGGAGGGCATCGAGGCAGAGCAACTGCTTGGAAGGGCCTTTGGGCACTGCGGAGGGCGGCCCTGGCATCTGCGGGAGGAGGACAGGACACAAGAGACACGCTGGACCACGCTTTGGTGGCTGGGAGGCTGATGCGGGAGACAGCTCCTCCGTAGTCCGGCTCCCACCCCCGGTTCACCCTCTGACCACATCTGGGCCACATCCCTTCCCTCTGCACCCCCTGCATTCAGAGCTGTAGGGGGCTCTCTGGGGCCAGCCCCTGAAGCCCACCATGGTCCCCAGGGGATCATGCACAGGCATCCACTGGCCCCAGTGCTGCGAGTTTCCATCTGCCCTCTACTCTCCTATGCACGGCTGGAGCTCCTCATTTCCCCTCTCCCTCCCCGGACAGGTATTACTCGGACATCGGGAAGATGCCAGCCATCAGCGACCAGGACATGAATGCATACCTGGCCGAGCAGTCCCGGATGCACATGAATGAGTTCAACGCCATGAGCGCACTCTCGGAGATCTTCTCCTACGTGGGCAAGTACAGTGAGGAGGTAAGCCCACCCCACCCCGTGCCCACTGGGAAGGATGGGGTGGAGATGGAAAAGTCCCCGCCTGTGGCAGCCACTAGGCCACTAGGCCACTGAGGGCCTGAACTCCAGGCCACAGTCTACCTCCGCTGGGGAAGCTGTCTGTCACCTTGGACTTGGAGGGCTCTGTGCCACAGACTGGGGTTGAAGAAATGCTCCGTTCTGTAAATTCTGCATTAATCCCTGTTCTTAGATATTTAGATAAAGTGTCTGTTTCTTTCCTTTTCTTTTCTTTTGAAAATTCTTATTTCTCCCCTGCCTGTCCCTCTCTTTTGTTTTTCCCTTTTCTCTTTTGGGTCTAATTCTCTTTAAACAAGCAGTTGCCCACTCTCGTGGCTGGCTGAATGGTGTGGTGTGGTGGGACACGATGGGACAGGAGAGAGCAGAACAGAACAGAACGGGATCTGTTTTACTTGCCGTGTTCCCCGGGTGGAAAACGTCACCTGGGGTCACTGCCACTGCAGACACTGCCTTCTTCCTGGCCAGTACAGAGGTGCTTCCAGATTTCTTAGTCATTCAGGCTTAGCCCAAGTGGGTTCAGAATCCAGGCTCCCTCTGTCCGAGCAGCAGCATAACCACCTTCTCCCTGAGTGGAAGGTAGTAACAGGAGCTAAAGCCAGTGCCCCCAGTTCTCTGCCTCCTCTCTACCTCGTCCCTGAGAGAGGTCTAGGAACCGCAGGCTAAGGAGGGAGCCCCAGCAGACCACGAGCAGCGTAGTGCTGTCAACGCCAAGTGCAGGAGAAGCCAGCTGTGAGTCGCTTAGGGGAGGGACCGAGATGCCAGACTGCAGGTCATTGCTGGTCAGGGGCAAAGTTTTCACCTGTCCGTGGCCACATGAGAGAAGGAAGGGCGATGTGGAGTGCGCTAGGGTGGGGGTGCAATTGCCTCATTTTGGAAGGACTGCCCTTTAGGCTACAAGGACACTTGTCTGCTCGTGGTGTGAAAATGTCCCATCCTCGTGAAATGCTGGTGCCAGTAACAGGCAGTTCTTGGCCAGCTTAGAAGTTGGCAATTCCATCCTCATCTCCTCAATTAAAATTGCATTCAATGGGCCAAGTAATCCAGGGCTCTGGGAGGCTCCCCTCAAGCCTGCAGCCTCTTCCGCCTCCCTGCCCCTCAGCCCCAGCACACGCATGCCTGTTTGTCTCACGCACCCCTTGTGGAGTAGACTTCGTGGGAAGGGCACACTCCCGTGTGTTCTGTGACTTTGTCCTCTGCACTGGAGCAGCCCACGGAGGGACCAGTAGCTCCCCCATTTTACAGATGAGGCAATGAGGGTTCAGAGATGTGACATGTCTTAGCCCAGATCACCTCGCTGGAAACCGGCAGACCTGTTACTCAATCCCATATCCCCTGAGTCTGAGTCATATTCTAACACATTTCCCATCACGCTCCACAGTCGCTCGCCGTCATTGCCCTCAACCAACCATCCGATCTCAGAAAAGGCTCTGGCATTCTATCATGAGTGCTGATGACCAAGAAAGCTTGAGATAGGGCTCTTCAAAGGATAGTTGCTTGTTAATGGACAAGTAAAGCCAAATGACTTCCTAAATGTGGGACCTGGGGCCTTGGGGAGCTGATGGGGAAGATACTCCTTTTTTTGGATGACAAGTGGGATTTCTTAGTATCTGTGAAATCACATTCCCCAGAGACACAGGGCACCAAGCTTTACATGGGAGTGGGACTATCTGCTTGTCACCCTACAGGTAACTGGCGCATCTTTGTGCAGGCGTCTCCTGCCCACTGTCAGCTGTCTTACGTGGACACTAAAATGCACACATTTATTTAGACATGCTGATGTACGTGCTGACACCCAGTGTCCAATGACACAGGGGTACCCACATGCTGCACCCCACTCCCGAGTGAGCCAGGCTGCCTGCCGACCCAGCAACTTCCTGTGTGCATCTGTATGTGCACGTGGCTCGCCAAGCCTGACCGCCCTGGCCCCCTAAGAACACGAACGTGTGTGCACAAACTCGTAACTGCCCTGTTCTTGGCCCTTCAACAGATCCTCGGACCTCTGGACCATGACGACCAGTGTGGAAAGCAGAAACTGGCCTACAAACTAGAACAAGTCATAACCCTCATGAGCTTAGACAGCTGAGAACCGTCCTTCCAGGGCCCCTGGGGGGAGGGACACACCAAGCCGTGCCTCAGTCTAGATTATCATCTTTACCAAGTGCAAGTTCCGACTGGCGTCAGCAGCATCCCCTGAGCAGCGCTGTCTCTCTCTGCCTCTTTCTGTCTCTCCCTTCTCCCTGCATCCCTTCTCTCCGTTGCTCTGCCAACACGATCAAACCAAGCCACCGCCCCTCAGTTAGTCCAGCATGGCCAGGCTCATGCGAGGGACCCAGCCAGAAGATATCAGAGGGGCTCTCTCTACCGGGTGAGCCCAGGCATCAGCAGCGGGGCCCAAAGGATGGAGGAGGAGCCACGGAGAGAGGCTATCCGTCCCTGGGCTGCCACTCCACTCACACAGTGGGTCGGACTTTGGTCTAGGGGAAGAGGCAGTGAGCTCAGTATTATCTTCACTGGGAAGACATCACCTGGCTCTCTCCCTTGTCACACAGTCCATCTCCAGGGGGACCGTCAGTGTGTGGCTCTGTTGCAACTGTGAGAAAGGCCATGGCTCCTGCCTGGCCAGAGAGTGAGGAGTTCGGAGGTGCTTTTCAGGCTGCCTCTTACTTGTGTTGGTGTCCAGAGGCCTCCTTGTCCCCTTGCAGTCTTCCTGGAGCCCTTCCAAGGGCTTCTAGGGACCTGCTTGGCCCATCTCCTCCCCTGCCTGTGGAAAGCCAGACAGGAGAAATAGCAGTTACCTTCCACCATGGAGACCCTCCAGACCTTCTCGTCTGGCTCAAAGGGGCAGAAACAACGTGGAGGGGGAGAAAGGGAAAGAGAGTTGCATCCAACCTGGAAGCAGAATTTGTTGTTTTCCATTCACCTCCAAATGCAAATGCAACACGCCCATGGTCATGGGTCTAATCCATTGCCAGATCTTCGATGCTGTCCAGAGAAAGCACCTGCATCCTCCTTTGTTGGCGCTCATCAAGGATCAATGTAAAATGCAGAATACATCCAGGAGATTCTACCTCCAGCTGCCTTTGTGGCTCCGTCCTCACCACCCTTCCTGAGAACTCTAGAGAATGCTGGGGCAGAGAGTGAGCCCCTATCCCCCTGCAGAGCCTGGTGCCATTGCTATGCAGACGGCCTTGTCACTCCACTGTCCAGACCTCCTTGGCAATGACTCCTTCAACATCCGCTGTCTCCTTAGTCACTGCCCTTCCTCACCTCCTCCCCAGTCATTATGGAAAGAACCACGCTCAAGCATAGCCTCGTGGAGACAAACCAAAATGCCAGCCAAACCCCGCCCCTAGCTTGCCATGTCCAGGAGGAACCAAGGACTCCAGCTGAAGGACGTGGCCAGCAATGACAGAAGAGACACACAGTGGACCTCAGCCCTCGCATCTGTTTCTCCATCTGTCCCTCCATCTCTGGATGGATTTCAGCTTGTCGGGCAAGCGTGTGTTGAGACATGGGTGAGCAGGGGCTGTGGTAAGAGACGGTCTAACAGAGGATCATGGAAACCTTAAAGGGACCTTAGATGCCATCTGACCCAGTTTCTCACCATCAACAAGATTCACTCCTGGTAGCCCTGGTGGCTAATTGTACACCAGTGTGGGAGACGAGAAGCATTGTCTAAGGTGTGGTTATGGGCGAGGATCCCAGTCTTGCCTTCACTCCCCAAGCATCAGACGTCATTCCCTGCAATCCACTCAAAATGGATTTCCCGTTGGAAAGAGGAAGGAGCCACTCCGTTCCCAGCAAAGTCTATGGAGTACCCTGTACTTTTAAGAACGCTAGGCCCTTTGGATGTGAATATGTGTGCATGTGTGAGTGTGCGTGTGTGCGTGTGCATGCGCGCGTGTGCGTATCTGCCCCAGGAGCAGGCAGAGAGCTCAGAAGGATTTCTTATCCTATGTAGGGGACTCTGATGTGTTACCCTTCTCCACTCTTGCTTTTTCATTCTGCAGCTTCAGGATATTTCAACGCTAGCTTTCGATGCTGAGTGCTGGTGGGTGGAAGGACAGCCACCTCTCTGTAGGAAATCAGGGTGGTCACTGGCCGAAGGAGGCCTAGACTTGACTGGAGGCTGGCTGGAGGTGACCCACAGCAGGGTATTATGTGGCATCAAGGGGGACAAAAAACCAAAGGTTTGGCAAATGAAGTGCCAGGTGAGAAGCATGGGCTTTCTACCCTTGACCATTTTATTTCCTCCCAAGGAGCCACGGGCCCCGGCCAGAAAGCAGGCGTGCGGGAGGCGGGAAGAAGAGGCTCCACAGCCGCTGAGATGTTATTTGCACACGTGAGGGGTTGGGGAGGTGAGAGACACAAACATATTTAACAGATTTGCTGAATGGAAGCTGAGTGTATGTGTGAGCGCATGTATGAGTGAGTGTGTTTGATTTGTTTTTTAAGTTTTGCACAGTTAGAAAGGGGAAAAAATGAACAGGCAGACAAGAAAACTATTATCATGGTTCTGCGGAAGCTTTTATTTTTTACCGGATTGTTATTATTGTTGTTATTGTTCCTTTGTCGGTACAGAACCCCCCCCCCTCGCCCCCGCCGCTATATTTTGTCATAAGAGAAACCCCTCAGAGAAACCTCAGTGTCAGGAAGAAGGGGGAAAGGACAGTCTCCTGGCTCTCCTCCTTTCTCCTCAGAGAGGGTTTTGGGGGAAATTTTAGTTTGTTGGTGGGGGGAGGGTAGGGGTTGCTGCTGGTGTTGTTTGCCGAAACCTCTGCAGCCTGCTCAGGCTGGAGAAGTGGGATAGAATCACCCAGAGCTGCAACCTTTCTTGCCCACAAAAATTCTCTTTCCTTTCGCTGTTTGTTCGTTTTCTGTTTCTTCCATTTGGATTCGTGGTGTACGTGTGATATGTTTCAAAGTATAGACAAGGCAGCATTGTCAAAGAGCTGTCCTTGCCTCCTCATGTTCTTTCCAGAGCTCCCCTTGGGCTTCCCAATCTCCTCCTGGCAGGCCACAGACCCCAAGTCTGTCCAGGGGGTACATGCGGGCCAGCACATCACAGAGAGGGGAGCTGGGCAGACTGGTCCAGTGGAAGGGAGCTCCCCTCAAGGGCCCCCCACCATGACAGTGAATTTCCAGGGTCATAACTCTGTTTAAGGTGGAATCTTTATCTAACTCCTTGAGTCCCGGGCAGAGAAGAAGGGAGACAAGGCCCATCTCCTCTCACCTCCCCCTTCAACCATCTCCTGCACCCTCCACCCCTTGAGACCGCCAGGGTCAAGACGGTGCCAGGAGCTCCCACAGCCGGGATAACTGACGTGGGTTAGGTGGGGATTTTGAATGTAGGAGGGAGATGGGCTGAAGGCTGGTAGTGGTACGAGGTGGGGAGCTTGGTGGGGTCCCGAATTGAAAAGGATGGATGGAAAGAATCTGGGAAAGACAGCTGCAGGCACGTCATTCTTCTCGGGGGGCATGAGTCTCCCCACGTGGGGGCTTCGCCATTCTTTGTCCTTCCATGTAAGGACATCTCTCGGTAACTGTAGATGGTACCACTAAGTGAAGTTGGCTATTGTGTCAGTTAATTCCTCAGGAAAACATTTTTTCTTGCCTTCTTTCAATGTGGTCTGAATTTAGGGACTGAGGACAACCTGAGTGTTCACAGGCAAAGTAGGCTCAGGCCCCCAGAGCACCATGCACACCCGGGGTCAGCCCTAGAGCCTCCCTCTTATGAGCCGGTGAGCCGATGGGTCAGGACTGAGGTGCTCGAGCAGGGCTACGGTCAGAGAGAGGAGTCATTTTCAGTAATCCCAAAGCGAAGCTGACGGCCCAGGGCTGTGCCAGGCAGAAGCAGCAGTCCCCGACAGGTAAGGTCGCTGACCTTGTCCCCTCAGGCCCAGGCCCCACCCCCTCAGCCCTGGGCAAGGTTTAGGTACTGTCCTAGCACCCCCACATCCCCCTGCCCGAGGTTCTCGTGCTCATGTGTCCCTTGCACGCCTGGCTTCTGAGGGTGTCCCTCCACCGCCGAGGGGAGTGTGCCCCCCCCCACCCCTCACCTGCAGCCTCTGCCCCAAGGCCATGTATCCAGTCTTACCGGCAGCCTGTGACCTCACAGCCCAGCCCCCTCTCCCTCCCCCACACACAGCCCTGGGCCCCTCCCACCCTCCTAACACTGCCTCCCTGAGTGGTTGGGGGTCTGTCCCTGGGGATCCCCCATCAGAGAAGCCACAAGCAATGATTTCCCAAGCGCCCTCCAGTCCAAGAGGCAAGTCCTGCTGATGTTTCCAGAACCCTAAACAACCTCTCACTTTGACCTAACAGGCAAAGCCCTGTTTTCCATCTGTGTCCTTTCTTAGGAATCAGGGGACACTTCCTATGGCTTCATAGGATGTGAAGTCAAGTACTTAACCTAGCGAAGGTTAAGGTTAATTATTCTTCATCAAGAACAAACTTTCCCACCTCTCAGAGAGCAAGGAGGGAGGGGAAGAGGCTGGGAGGCCCAGAGACACCCCTTCCGTGGCCCTTCCAGGAATGGGCCACCCCAACAGGCAGTCCAGCGGGAGGCCGAAAGGCATTCCTGGGAAGGAATAACCTGCAGCCACCAGAGTTCCCAAGGGAAGACCTGCCCCAGGCGGACCCTGGCTCCTCCATGGCCTTTCTCCTTGCTCCAAGTTCATGTCAAAGCCCTCCCGGCAGCCCCCCTGCCTCCGGTCAGCTCCCAGGGCAGGTGGCTGAGGGCCCTAGACCCCTCAGCCCCTCCTTTTTTCCTTATTCTGTATGTGGGCTGTTTATCTGGGGTTTGAGGTACTTTTTGTCTGTATATGTTAAGCGTTTGAGATTAAGGAGGGAGCCCAAATTGCGGGAGGGAAGGAACAAGCCTCTTTACCTGTGACTTGCAGGGATGAGGAGAGCCACGGGGCTGGGGGTGGAGAGGGGCTCCCCTCACCGCTGTTGTTAGAAAGTGGGTCTGAATAGTTCCCAGATGTGGGCACGCCACGCCTGGGGAAGCGGTTTCCATGGCTGCTGATACCCTTGGTGCTCCCCCTGCACCTCCGAGAGCTGGGGCCCGCGGTGACCCCCACCCCGCTCCCCCTCCCGCCACCTCACCCCCACAGGTGAGCCTTTACAGAGCGGGAAGCCGAGGTAGGGCCACAGGTGACTAGAGAGGCAGCTCCAGAGAGAGGCTGGGACACCATGAGCCTCTGAGAGTGGGGGGCCCTCGGCTGGAAAACTTATAAAGACCGTTCTTCCCAGTTAGAAAGGAGTCTCTGTAGTAAAAGTTTGAGACTTTCAAGAGAGACCTTTTTTTTAAACTATAAATCTTTGCTCCCCAATAAAATTGTAGGTTTTTTTTTTTTTTTTTTTTTTTTTAGTAGGGGGAGTATTCAACTTTATAAAATATACAGGATTCGTTTGGTTGTAAAAGTATCATACTCATTAGAGTCTCGGTTAAATTCCTTGAGTAGACTGGTGACTTCCTCAGAGCAAAGCTAAATGAAACAAAAGCCCTAATACACGAAAAGAGGCTTCTGTCTGTATTGGCAGAGCCAGTGAGGTGGGGGCGGGGGGGCTCTGTACCCTCAGTTGGGTCCACCCCACCTTCCCTTTTCCTCACCCCCTTTCGCTTTGTCTGGTCTTGGCTCTCTGGGCTTCCCCTGGTGTGGCTGAGTCCTGTGCGGTTCCCATCAGCTTACCTCAACCCGTAGGGACACCCTGTTAAGGACTGGTCATGGAGGCATCAAGTCTCGTCCCCTGAGAATGCAAATGCTCGGGCAAACAGACACGGTCTGTGAAGCTCATCTTCCACCACTTTTTGTTTTTTGTTTTTTTTTAATCTGGAATTAGAACATCTTTTGTTAGTATCTTTGATCTTACGACTCAAGCACATTTTGGAAGGGCTCCCTTCCAAGAGTGGAATTCAAAACAGAGGATACAGCTAAAGAGCGATGCAAAGGACACTTAACAAAGCGAGACCGCTTACCAGACAGGACTGCTGAATGCGATTCAGGCCCATGACCAGGATGGGGTACGTGTCTCGTGTGTTCTCCTTCTTCTCCCTTCCCTGATGTTCTCCCCAGCTGTTGGCTCGTTAAACCTTCCGTTCTTTAAAAAGAAAAGCTAGTTTACCTCAGAGAATCTTGTTTCCATTTGGAAACCAATGACTTTGTGTTTTAGAGTAGATGGCCCTCCCCTCCGTCACTCCTTGCCTGGGTCTGGTGTTCCCAAGGCCTGAGGTCCTTGCTTAGTCGTGTGATGGCTACGTTGACCAAGAACAAGCCCTCAGGCCCTGAGATGGACAGGAGGGACTGGGTACAGCTGGCCTCCTCCCCACCTTAGCTGGTAAGGCCCAGCCTGTCGCTTCTAGCAGGGTCCTGCCGAGTCACCATAGTAACCAGCAACCCCAGGGTACGGCCAACAGAGAATGGCTCCCTGAGGTGCAGGGGACGTGGGGTCTGGCCGCTGGGCACACAACCCAGAGTCAAGTCAAATATTAGAGGCAAGAGGGGAAACGGGAAAGGATGAATGGGTGGTTTGAGGGACAGGCAGAGGCCGCTGAGTCTCAGAGAGAGGCTGTTGAAGGAGGTGGGGCGGGTCATTCCTGCCCCGGGTCTCCCCCTTCCAGCCCCGCCCCACCTCTGTTTCCATAAAGCTCTCACCTTGAACACAGACCCTTTGTTAGAACAAAGCAAAACATATCTTTAGACAACAGTGTTACAATGAGCCTCACAGATAGGTGGACCAACTCTATCAGAGGAAGAGGGTCTTCTGGTTTTGATTTTTAAAAGAGTATCCTAGTAAGATTTAAAAAAAGATTTAAAAAATAAAGTTTTTAAAAAGGAAACCTATGCTATTTAAATTGGAGCCCAGTTGTAACTTGGTAAAGGCAAGCTTCTGTACCTTTGTTATAATTAATTGTATACCTGTGTATGTAAATATAAGGCATTCCTATTTTGCAGTTCAGAACAAAAAAAAAACCTATTTGTAATATAGAATAAAGTTTATTAAAAAATAATAAAAATGCAGTTTGGGATTTGGGTCCTTCTTCATGTGGCTGGCTAGGAGGGGGTGGGGAGGGGGTGGGGAGGGGGCGAGGAGGGGGCAGGGAGAGGGGAGAAGGGAACACTGGCCATAAATAGGCCTCCACAGTGCACAGATGTGGAAGCGTCTCTCTCCAGCTCCATGATGTCTACACTCAACCACCAGAGGTGAATTCTCTCACTTAAGGCTCTGTCTTCGGGTACAAAGCAGAGGTGTCTGGAGATGATGGTGCCCCCAGCGAGGGAGAGAGCAAGCATGCCTCCCGCCGGTGGAGTCAGCACACACCACTTCCGCATGAAGCTGGATCAGCCTCTGAGCCCCTCTCAACACAGCCCTCCAGGCCCGCGCACAACTAACCCGCTAGAGTCGGTCCCGGAGAGAAGGCCAGTTGCCATCCCTGCTTTAAGTCGCAGCAAACTGCGCCCTCCCATAAGTGATTGTATCAGTGTCTCTGTCCCCGAGCATTCTGATAGAGGGTAGACATCTTGACCCCAATTGTGCCCCTGGTGTAGAAGTAGGACAGAGAGAGAAAGAGAATGGGAAGCGTGGCAGTGGGGGCAGGGAGCAGGGAAGAAGTGGCCGTCTGCCCGCCACCCTGTCCATCTACGGTCCAGGCTGGCCTCCAGGTGGCAGTGCAAGGGGGCAAGGGCAGCGCAAGCAGACGGGCCAGTGTGAGCCCCGGCCTGGGCCCGGGGACTCTGGCCGCCCTTGGGCAGATGCTTCTGCCCCTCTGAGCCTCACTCGGGTCAGCAGACGGGGGAGGTTGAGCTCCACGTCTCCAATGTTCTTATTATTCCCACTGAAAACCAGAGAACAGGAAGGAAGTGGGATGAGGAAGGGAAAGAAACATGTAAGGACGGAGAGCACGTGAGGAAGAGGAAGAGAGGTGGGAGAGAGGGTGGGAGAAGACAGACAGACCCCAGGCACCCAACAGCAAGTCCTGCCCTCCCCATCGCCCTGCTGCCCCGGCCCCACCCCCCACCCCCAGCCCCTGGGCTCCTCCAGCCTTCAAAGCAGAGCCCCCCGAGTGTGAGTGCGGGAGTTCACCAACACGGGACCTCTGACTTGGTGCAAAGTCCGCAAGTCCTGGCTTGCCTCACAGACTCTCCCACCTTCCAGAAGAGACCCCACTGCTGAGGTAAGAGGGAGCTGCTAAGGGGCCAGCACGGCTCCACAGTGAGACCCAGACACGATCACCTCTGGAAGACACATCCTATAGCCAGTGACCAATGCCAGGCACCTTCAACCTTGGGACAATGAGGCAACAGGTGACAGCTAGGAGGGAAAGCCAGAATTAGCGACCCTAAGACCAGCACAGACTGCCTGGACTGAGATCAGAGTGGTGATTTTTGTTTTTTTCAAGAGTTCCAACTGACACGGAAAGTAGATTTCTCCCTTGTCCTAAACCGTGAAGCAGGCTGCGGTAGGGACGATGGGCTCAGTGTGAAAGTTCAAGTCAGATTCCACACCCGATCAAGTTCCTGCCATGTCCGCAGATGCCTTTACCTGTGTGATCTCATACTCTACCACAAGCAACCACCATTGACCTTGAGCAGACCACTTCTCTGTGATTTGGCTTCCTTATCCATGACCTGAAGACACTTCTAACTGCTCTATGATCCCCAGGAGACTGTGGGGGAGGCCGATTTAGATAACCAAAGTGAAAAAGACCCTGAGCACCACGAAGGGTGACACATGCATGCGGTATTGTTATCAGTCATAAAAATGATACTGTACAAACAACAGAGGGGATCCAGCCCGGGGCCTCAATAACAAATTGAGAATAGATGCTATATTCCTCGGCTCAGGCTGCTGTAACAGAAAACTGGGAGGGGGAGGGGGCTTAAACCACCGGCATTTATTTTCTCACAGTTCCAAAGGCTGGAAGTCCAAGATTAGCATGCCAGGACTGGCTTTTAGTGAGATCTCTCTTCCAGGCTTGCAGAGAACTACCCTCTGTGTCTTCACATAGCCTTTCCTGGTGGGTGCATGGAGAGACCCCCGCGGTCTCTTCTCATAAGGACACCAGTCCTATCAGGTTAGAACCCCCCTCTGGGGCCTCCCTTAACCTTAATTACCTCCTTAGAGGCCCTACCCAAAAATTCAGTCACAATGGGGGTGAGGCCTGAATCTGGGTAGGCCGGGGGGGCACAATTCATTCTGTAACAGTGCCTTATAGATTAATTGCCAAAAAGTATCTAACAGCTTATGGAAAGGGACATGTACTTTGATTGTTAGACTGTAAGACTGTCGAAGGCAGAGACCATATCAGCTGAATGTATGCTACCCAAGCTTAGCAAGTGTCCAGCACAGGGCAAGTGAGTGTTCAGCAACTCATGAATGGGTGGCGGGAGGGACAGGGGTGGCAGGACTGGCAGAAAGCAGTCAGCCCCGAAGTTGGTCACTCGGTCATCTCCCCGCCCAACCACTATGCCTCTATTATTTTCCACATCAGACCACATCCCCTCCATGAATATTTTATCTCTAGGAAACGAATTCCTTCAATTTCAGCCAGTGACTTATCTTTTGTAGGTGAAGAGAGCCAGGCGTTGTGGTCAAGACCTCTCCCGGGGTTGGGAGAGTGGCTACCGGCAGAGCAGAACAGGGGTGGGTCACTTCCACACCAATGTCTTCCTCCAGACCTGTCCTGCTTTCCTTTTAACAAAAGTCCCACCTTGAACCAAGCCTGCAGGGCTGCAGGGAGTATGAGCTAAAGGTGAGGCAGGTGCATGAGGTTGGGCCGTGCGTAGGGATAGTGGGTAGATCGTGTCACTGTTCAACAATGTCTGTCTTCCCTCCTGGAGTGGGCATGATGGCTTCCCATCCCCAGAACGGCAGGCTGCCCAAGTGAAAGTTTTTCAGCCTCAGGTAGAGGTCACAGCACTCACACCCCACACTGCCCTAAGAAGCTGTTATTTGCCATGTATGGATGAATCCAACCAAGTTCATTGTAAAACATGACCTATAACTTTCTATATACAGTGAAACCTTGGATTCTGAGTAACTTGTGCAAGGGTTCTGCAAGAGGAGCAAACATTTCTAATCAGTTTTGTCTTGCAATACGAGGAGTAAGTGATGCCGAACATCACATGATCACAACTGAGCCAATGGTTCTGGAAATTCGCTTTGATATACAAGTGCTTTGGCTTACAAGCAGGTTTCCAGAATGAATTATGCTCACAAACCAAGGTTTTACTGTACTTGGATTTTCATCAGTGGTTTTCATCACTTCCAGGAAAGCAGAGAGCTTGTCCTTACTAGGAGGCACAGACCATGTTCTCAACACAAGTCCCACCCAAGATGGCAAGCCACACTTAGGAGGCCACAAAGAACACTGTCTCATGGTGCCTAGGAAGGCCCATCCACACACAGATGCTGGCTTTTCTCAGCAGCACCTGCTGCTGCCCAATACGAAGGCCCGATGGCCCCTCTAAAATGCAGGCAGGGGAGCAACACACGCCCCCCAACCGAAGAGGGCCCTTCCTGCCCTTGTTCCACAGTGGAGCACAGAGCTGGAGCACTGCTTGCTTCCCCATCTTCCAAGTCCCCAGCCATTTCCTGATCAAGCCTGTGTGTTATGGGGGGGGGGGGGGGGGGAGGAGTGGGAAGCTGGCAAGGCACCAGGGATGCACTCTTCACCCCATTCACCTAGAGCACATCCTGTTTCCTGCACTGAAAGGACCAGACCCCCACTCCCTTGAGTGCCAGCCTGCACTGCCCCCAACTCCACAATGATTCTCATTTTTGGAAACTTTCATTTCTTTGAAACTCTGTAGTTTGCCTCTGCGGGTCACACAGGCTAATATGCCACTGACTCAGAACTGGGAGAGCACACCATCCACACTGCTGTGACTTCAATCCCCTTCCTAACCCCCCACCCCCCACCCATTTGCAGCCTGCACACGGTCTGTGCACAGAGTAATAGTGAGACCCTGCCTACCCTCGTCCAGAAGTGTTACTCTGGGTGAGTTCCTAACCGGCTCCAAATCTTGGTGTTCTCACCTATAAGGATGAGAAAAAAATAACACCTTCCTCACAGAAGATCAAGTGAGGCAAGGATTACA